ATATCAATGGTTGATTTCTCCCAAGGAAAGATAATGCTAGAGATAATTGTCGGTTTGGCCATTTTTTGTCGGCCGGACCTCCCATTTCACAGGCCCAAAATTTGAAAACCCTGGAAGAAATGTGGAAGTGGGACATAGCATTTTGTAGAGCAGACAATTCTCTTTCGAATGGTACACAACACGATGTAAAAGCATGGAGGTTTAGATGAAAATTTTTTGGATGAAAAAAAGCGACACTGTTTATGAGACAACCTAATACTTTCTCTGAGGCCCGACCTTGGTCTTAACACATTGCGTTCCGCGTGCGCCACATGGTGGCGCACGATTTCCACATGAAAGAGCTTAGTTTTTATCTGATCCATGCGGTACTTTTCAATGTTTCAGAACTGTCTGCACTCGTTTTCAGAGCCGAAAAATAATGTGTGTTACCACTGACAAAGTGGTTGGTAGGTCAGTGATGATGACATCATATACGAAATCTAAAACAAGGAAAGAGAGATTCCTTGTAGCAACGGCGGTCCACAATGTTTAAAGCAGCCGTGAACATTACGCTCATCCTAGAGTGAATGGAATTCCGAACATCAACTCAGTAGGTTTGCTAACCTCGTCGAAATCCAGCGTGCATTTATTGTTCTAAATGGGAGGGGGACGAAGGGGGGTAGAGAAGAGGGAAAGACGGTCAGTCATAACAACAGAAAATTTTCTTTTGTTGTGTTTAGTTGAGTTTGCCTTGGTCTGGATAAGGCTATTAGGAGAACCCGATAAATCACTGCTATTATTTTTCACGTTGACTTGTCTCGAAAAAATGCGGGCCATTCCACGGGATAGCGCTGTAGTTAGAACGATTCGCCTAAATTGAGCGCTGCGAAATTAGTATTTTTATTTCAAATGCAGGTGGCATCAACGCTCAGTGGCGGAAGTCTTGCTGCTCAGCAAGGATGCCACTGATACAATTTCCCACTATCAGCCTTACCATTACTCGCGTTTATTAGTGCGGGTTTCTACTGTTGCAATGAGCAGCCAGTGCTTCCCCGAGCTCGTCAAGCGTAGGCCTAGCCCTGGTGGTTATAAACCAGGTCTCCTGGAACGCGAATTCATCGTAAAGCCCACCGTCAACACATTCTACATCCAAAACGTGACCAAAATTAAAATATAAGTCGTGTCGCTTTCAATTGCGCGTTGAATCTCGGCTCATCACGCTGCGTGTGCATTGACCCAGTTCATTCATTTTAATTTGGTGGTTGTTGACATAAAATCAAGGTAGTCGTCCTGTCTCGAAGGGGACGTAAATATTGTAAGGCCTAATCTCACTTCAACGCCACTGCAATTTTGAATAGAAATGGTATGCGTGGTGCATCCTTAACACTTCGCAAATGCCGTAATTTTATCAGTTTAGCGCGCTGTGCTCAACGCGTTAGCGTTACAGAGCTCTCATGAAAATGCTTGATTCGGGCTCTGTGCTCCATAAAATTCTGCCTAGACCCCATCCACCAAAATTTTTCTGGCAATTCTTTAGGTGATGCCAAATTTTGTGACGCATGACGAGAGGTACAAATAGTGCTTTGTAGGTAGTCGCGATGACCTTTTTGTAAGTAGTTGAACAGAAGTCTGTTTATCACTTATTACTTTTACCTATGTGAATAATTATTCTACCACAGGAACCTTGTTGAAGTTAAATCTTGCGCTGGCAATCGCATGACTTTTAGCGTTGCACCTAAAAGCCTTTCTTATCATGCTACTTCTCGTTAATACGCTATTCCTCTTTTCCTAAAACAATGCTAAATTTGAGAAGCCTTCATCCAAATCCAAATTCGGTCAATCCCTATAAAAGAACCAAATCTTTCAGAATCTCCACCATTAGTCCGGGAACGTGACATTTTCGAGCGAATGTTCAAATACTGCGTTCAGTGTCTAGACGTCTACATGATACCTTTTCCACAGCCGCCATCACGCGTGCAGGTTCCAAATAGGTACACGGCTTTCTACTTTTAGCCTCCCTTCATCACATTTTGTAGAAAAGATCCACGGCCAATATGCGAATTAATCGTTTTCAGTGTTCCCGGTGGTACAAGGTCAAAAGAGGAGAAGGACGCCCTGGATGCGCTAGCATATTTGGTAACAATTAGTTCATTTAAAAACGAGAATAAAAGATAACGTGCCTCATTTCAGTTCACGATGCTAAACTTGGACGTTTTTGGTGAAATATTCACTAAGTACATGGACTTTTTTGTGGTACGCATGGCAAAGTGAGCACATAATTGATTTGTTTCTTTTACTTTATTGAGATAATGTTTCATGTGAGTATGAGTAAGGGCAGGTTAGATACATCGGCCCAAAAGTGTCTACCAGCGAGCGAAATTCATGAAAGATTGGGCAATATACATCTTTCTGGAAGGCAGAGGTTTACATGAAGTGAACAGCTTGAGGGGAAGGTGTTCTGAAGAGTTTATTTGCATTTCGAAAGCGTCTCATCATTTTTGATTAAGAATTCTGGAGCTCTCACATTCATTTTTTTCTGGATTCATTTCCCCAAAAGATCTCCCAGCGACCTATCTGATTTCGGTATCAGTATCCACGTTGTGTTGTCAGCTTTTGAGTCGCCTTCTATTGGTGATCTGTTGTTGGTCATCTCATCGGTCTCCATGCTATAAAAATCAGAGGTTTTTTGGTCGAAGATAGCTGAAGGTCGATTTCGAGGTTAATGGCATTTATGAAGTATCGTACTTTATCGTGTTGGTCGTGAGGCTGAGACAAGTAATTGGCTGATGGCGAGGGAGGGGAGTGTGTCTTATAAGGGGAACGATAAAGGAAGTTTCAATATGAAATACGGAGCAGATGAAAAGTCAAGTTCGCGGCGCACAAGCACTGCTATGCAGGACGAGCACTTTCCTTCTACTCACGCTGCTGTTCGCTCCAACTGCTCGTGTGATTTCTCAGCGTTGTTGGAGACCCATTTGTAGGATTCCCATGTGAAGTTGTTTCTCTAACATATCACAAGCAGCGAAAAATGCTCTTCTTGGGCCCATTTGGTGTAACCGATTCATTCCTACCCTCTGAAAGAGGTTTTCTTGCCAATAAAGTGCCATCTGGAGCCAAGTTCGTATATCTTGGGTGGATTAGGTTCTCTAAATTACAGATTATTCCTTAACAAAGCACTCGAATAATGATGTATAAGATGTAAATAAAGCGCAGCGAAACTTCACAAGTCGGTTTTCTATCGCTGAGTCATGGACAAAACGTTGCCTAGGCATGGATTGTTGGAATTTAATATAAACTTGTGCCCTGTGGTGGCCAGACTTGTCGTTGCTTTTTGCCGTAAATCCCGTGCGACGTGTGACATGATGAGCCGGTCACCCATCTTCGACAGTAGCTGTTGGTCGTGAGCTCCAGCAGTGCGGAATCATTTTTTTGCCAACTGCTCTTTTTTGCCCCAACTTCTGATCGGTAAAGACAAATTCCTAGTTTTCGTGTAATTAATTCTAATCAAAATACAGTAGATCACAGTACTCGGCGTTGCAGGTTTCGTAAAATATTTGTGAAAGTCTATTTGCGTGATTGGCCCCCCCTAATCTTGTGACGTTAATGCTCTCTCTGCTAAATGACTAGAGCAGGCAGTTTGCCGGCTCTGGGAGCTGGGCATACTCTCGCTGGTTAATCGTCCAAATCATTAGTTAGTCGGTTTACCTTTAGAGTTGATGTTTCCCCATCATCCACTTCCAACCTTAGCGACCTTATTGTGGAGTCCTTGGATTAGTGCAGGAATCCGATCCTGTATAGAATGTGTGATGTGACGACTGCGACCCTCGTCCTTCTTCTGTGGTCACTCAATTTGAACGATTCGTCAAGAAGAAGTCCAGCGTGGAGGTGGTGGGAATTTTTGAAGACAAAAATGGACATTTGCAGTGCTGTCTTGCAAGCGACTGAGTCTGCGAATCGCTGCAGTACGTGTACTTGCGAGTGCGAGACTGTACTATCATCATTTACTGCACACCTTTTCTAGGAACCTACCACTGCAGTTGGCGTGCAACGCCTTTCTGGTCCGAGCAGATGTTTCATTCAGATTTGGGTGCATAATTGTTAAGTATCTCATGGATCGTCTACCGTGCTTAGCAGGTGTTTGTAACTTCTTATAAAACCCTATATTTTCAGTCGACTATCGTCTTTTTTTTGTTTGTAAGCAATCATTTAGTGATGAATGATGTCTCAACATTATACGTAAAGCTGTTCAAGATTATCTTCTCCGCCATAGGCTGTCAGAATTCGGCCAGTCCTGATGGAGAAATCATGCTCAAAGTTTGTTCCCAGTTTTATTCTGTTTGTTTGATACATTATTCTTACTTGTTTTGGCCTCAAGAACTTTTTTCCAGCCGTACTTGCCCGAACTCATCCGCAAGTCAATGGAATATGCTTTGAGTGCACGAGATCCTATCAACTACTTTATGCTCCTTCGCGCCCTATTCAGATCAATTGGTGGTGGCCTCCATGATATTCTCTATTCACAGTTTCTCCCTCTACTGCCAGATTTGATGCTATTTTTCAACAAGCTGCAGGTATCTAGTCAGCAATCTCATTATACCAAAAAGTGAACGTCAAAACTGTTCCTGTCAGTGGTGTGATCATCGACAAATGATGCGGGAACTCTTTGTCGAATTGTGTCTTACCGTACCTGTGAGGTTGTCAACCTTGCTTCCACATCTGCCCTTGCTGATGGAACCGCTCGTTTGTGCTCTCAACGGCGGACCAAATTTAGTCCAGCAGGGTTGGTATTTGTACCGTAGAATTCTGGTTAGGTTAACTTAATGTGCTTAACTTAATAGTGCATTTGCAGGCTTGCGTACGCTCGAGCTATGCGTAGACAACCTGCAACCCGATTTCTTGTTTGATAATTTTTCTCCGGTCCGTGGAGGAATGATGCAAGGTGGATGTTTGATTCTATTTTTTGCGGCTTCATCTGAGTGAGCATTAGCGGTCACTTGAATTGAAGCAGATGGGTGGTTTTCGATCATTGCCTTAAGTCTGCACCATATTGAGTTCGATAGTTTTCAAGTTCATGTTTTGGGCAGGATGTTGGCTATTGTCATACTTGGTAAATTAAGGCTTCAGAAGGGGGGATCGTTCAGCTCTTGGGGGACTTGTCAGGTTCCGCATGGTTCGGGCACTTCTGTGTTCGGTTTCCAATTGGCAAGATGTTGGCTATCGCCGTACGTGATAAATCAAGATTTCAGAAGAAGGGATCATTCAGCTCTGGGGGTGGGGGGAGGCTTGTCAGGTTTCGCATGGTTCGGGCACTTCTGTGTTCGGTTTTCAATTTACAGTAATTTCCAATTGGGTGAAGTAAGGAAAAGGTTCTTCACGCTCGTTCACGATAGTGCGCGACCGAAAACTCCTTATCAACAAACTGGCCCGCTTTGCTACAAAATTCGGAAGGGTTTCGGTTACAGGCTCACATGTTTGGTCGAGGAAGAGTCTTGACAGGGCAATGCTTACCTCATCCGAGTGCCCTCTTAAAGGGTGAACTGCTCTCAGGCGTCGTTTACGTGCTCCGCTTTGGGATCATAATTTATCATTCCGGGATTGAAATTTTCAGGGCTGTACAAAATTGTTGGAAAATCTGTGGAACCTCAATCGGTGGCGACAGCGGTTCGTGTTCTTGGAAAATTTGGTGGTGCAAATCGAAACATGTTCACCGAACCTCCGGTAGGTCACACATGTGCACAATGTTAATATGTATTATACTTTCGGAGGTTTATTTTCCTAGAATTTGAAATCTCATCCAAAAGGCGATCAACCTCCGTTCACCATTCGCGTGGCATTTGATAGGCCAAACACTTCGCAGACGTTCTTCTCAACCATCTACGGCGATTTGGCCCTCACTGAAATTGTTCGCACAGCATTGAAGCAGATGCGGTAAGTTGCATATTTTTTAAGTTGGTACAAGCGATATATTCATATGAATCCTTCAATAATTCTTCAGACTTGATCCATCCCATCAGCATTATTCTGTGCAAGTTCGCCAGTATGCAATGGAGGTATGTTTTTATTGGTTGAACTGTGGCTTGGTAGGTGTGAATATTGCAACCCGCGTAGTCGAGCGTATGGGACTCGTAGGCTAGAATGGCTTCCGTCCTGACGGTCGTGCTGCTCAAGTTTTTTCTCCAAGCTCTGGCGGTGTCAGACTTTGCGAATACAACGATTCACTAGCGAATCCGCAGCTAGCTGAGCCGGTAGCACGTTGCGCGCAAACAGAGACAGCAGTCCGATTAATAGAGCAGAATGAATTGAACGAATTTATGTGATCTTTTTATACTTCTCCATGCTACAATTCAGTTGGCTCGCTCCGTCCTTCTGAGCAGCTTCGCTCCGTTGGACTTCTCTGAGAAATGGGAAGTCGGTTTGAAGGATCGTTTCATTGAGCAGTTCAAGGCAAGTGTTATGTTCTTCTGTGTTTCTTTGCAAAAGCAAAAAAGTGGAATATTTTAGCGACTCGAGAATGCTCCCGATAGTTGCACTGTTTTACGATGCGCCCGCGAAGGAGATCGTGCCATACACTCGGATGCTCTTATGATTCTGTTCTGTAGGGATTGTTTATTACATGCACATTTTTTCTGGTGCCTGTAATAGTGTCTACTTGAAGGCGGAATCGTTGGCAAGGATTTACGAAGCAAGTACATCAAATTTTTCAATACTACCATCCGGTATTTGACACTGCAAGCGCTCCTGGAGTTCACCGGTAAATATGATTTGAGATATTCTTATTTTTTCTCGCAGCGGTGATTGGCGAATTTATAGTACTTATTCGGGTTTCGGAAAGGTTTTCCGTTTCAGCTTGTCGATTTATTCGGTTGTGCTTCATCGAGGAACTATGTATTCTGGACCATTGTCAGCTTATGTAGTGTTATACTGGATTAGTACTTTTACATTGCGCATTCTTCTCTTAGAAGGGTTATGCCCCTGTTATAGTTGCAGATTGGTATGGGCATGTTACAAGTTGGCGCTCTAGAATCAGGCGGGGAGATACTCCAAAGCACATTCCGTTCTTGAAAATCGCGTCTGAAAATGGAATGAAATGAAAATGTATTTGTGGTGATCTGTCAATCAGTGATGAATGAGAGTGGATAACATTTCTGAGGACCCTTCATGTGTGCGTCGATCGTGTGAGCTGAGTCAGCATTCTGCACCTACGGCATTCTCATTGGCTGCTCTCATATCATTACGGTACTTTACCGTATTTTAAGGGATCACAGAAACGGCTAACCAATGGGACTCCTTAAAGGCAAGAATCAGGATTAAATTGATGGGGTGATTCCACTCAAATGTGAAAGTAGGGATGGGAGGTGGACCGCCAGTGGAGAAAAAAGGAAAGAAAATCCTGAAATACACAGGAAATACGAGCATTTTGCTCTATGCTGTGGAGAAGTTCAAAAGACAGGCAGGGAGATGAGAGATAATGTGAGCGCGGAGAGTGGTAGAGAAGTCCGAGAAGAGAGAGCATAGCAGATCAACGCAGCGACGCAGACAAGACATCGATCGGTGGGCGGACCATGTTTGTTTGGTAGGTGTGAGCCCGAACTTTGCCTTTAAATGCGAGGTACACAATTCGCCCATAGGACCGGTTCCGCTGCGTGGTTTTCATACTTCTTTGCAGCTTTTTGCCTTTTTTCAGTGCTGGGCAGTGCATTTAGCATAACTATTATACTCGTTTTTGATCACCATCATCCCTACCTGTTAATTATTGGAATGTGCCTTCATAACGGATCCTTTTAAGGCGAAGAAACGGCTGATCCATTGGGCAATCTCGGAGCAGTTTTGGCAAGTCGGTTAGAATAGGGCCCAGTTGAGTGAGTTAGGTAGAAGTAGCGAGTAACAGTTTGGGTGGTTATGCCAATTACTCAACATTTCCCATTACTGTCGTTATACAGGGACTGACTAGAGCGAAACGATCTATTTACATGCGGCTTGTGCGAAGTCTTGGTACGCTTTAAACGAAATCGACATTCTCTAGCGTGCTCTGAAACAAGCTTTTTGCTTGTGTCTTCTAAACTCTTGTTTATTCATTGTGTCAAAAACAAACTGTGAAGCCGCTGTACAATTGGCTAGTACATTATGCCTTTCCTTGTTCAGAATGTAAGAGCCATGGCGGAGAAATTGCAGGCAGAGCGGCTCTCATGTCGCTAGACCACCCGGCTCAGTGCATGGATGGTGGTATACTGGTAGATGCGATAGTTACGGCGCTCTCAGACTCGACCAAGGATTTCTGTCAGTCTGCCATCGTAGGACTGCGGCACATAAATGACGTGTGTCGAGTAGTGATACCGGATTTGGAAGTGGTAATTTCAATTATTTGTTGTACCAGCTCTCATGAAACGCAGACAGATGACCATATTCCAGATGCCACGAATACCGTTTGTGCGGTACTTGATAGAGAGCGTGAGCGCACTGTGTTACGCTTCTTCGTGGTTCGTACGATTGGGAGGAGCGAGCGGGTTGATGTATTTCATAGAAAATTATCCGGACTCCGTGGTTCTCGCCAATATGAGCGGATTCATGGAAAGCTTGATTGAGGTATTTCTACCGGCCATTCCAAATTTCAACTGAATACTTGTTGTGAATAAAGAAGCCGAAATGATTTCAGGTTCTCATTGGGATGACTGATCAGGTGTCTTGTGGTGCCGTGGACATGGCTGTAGGAGCCATAGAAAAATTGCAGAAACGATGTCTTGCCGTGAGTACCTTTCTCTTATTTAAGTGTTTGGGTTATCATCATTTTCTTTGTTCAGGGTTGTAACATCAACGATCCGAAAGTATCCGTGTTTATGAATTGCGTTGCAAATCATTTGTTCAGCGGGAACCAACACGTAAGACAGAAGGTAGGCTTCATGAAGACCCATTATTTCAGTTGTCTGGAGGTATTATCGTAGTTCTAAAATGAGGGTAAGTCCCGGCAGTGCCGACCAAGCCTTCTTTCCTGCAGAATTGGCTAATTCATGCGAGAATTTACTTCAAAATTGCGAATGTTGATGGTCATACGTTTAAATAGTAGACAGCAATCTGAATTCGAGATCTATATTTTTTTTTTTAAATTCCGAATGAAGTATTATACAGTAGGTATTCTTTCTTTTTCGAAAACCTTTCCATTTTTATTAAGCAAGTGCTACTTTTAGACGTTGGCCATGCTGAATACGTGTGCAGGAGTACTTGGAGTATCACTTTCTTCGTTAATGTGCAGCTATCGAGAAGTGTTCGTAGCACAGATAGGTAGGTTTTACAGCTTCTCGAAAATCTCATTCTACACGAGATACTAGCCTTGCATTTTAATTGTATTTGTTTATGTCGTAAGCCTGGAGGAAATAGGGGTCGCGCAACAGGGATAAGTGAAGTTATCGTCTACATGTGTACGGTAATGTACGGAGCTGGTCTAAAATTGGGCGGAGGAGTATTAGGATTTCTGTTTCTATTCAATGAGGTGTTTTCGTAGTGGCCACCTCTTATGTTGGAGTCCTGAAAATGTCGGTCGGTAGATGCCAATTGAAACTACTCTGTGTAGGAGAAGGGAAGATGGATGTGGATTGCGCCATGGGTTATCTATACAAGCTAGATTTCGCCATAGTCACGGGGCGGTTAATCAATGTCGATTGAAGCTACATAAAATTTTATTCAAAACTTTAGGACTACGGCGTTAAGACGTAGTCTCATAGAGGACAGAATTTCATAGCATAGTTAGCTATTCAACGATAAATATTGGAAGTCTGCACCCTTATCAGGGTGCTGGTGGAAGTTTCGCCTGGTTAAGAGTCAAAGATGCTTCCACGCATTTGGTGATGAGAAGGCAACGAGCCAGTACATTGCTAAGTAGTGTATCCATCTACAAAACGCTTGTAGTACTGTGTATACGAGGGTGGTACACTTCAAGAAAATTGGTAACCTTATTTTCACAGCTGTGTGTAAGAGAAGTCTGAAAATGTCTGGCTATTCTGCGCCAGTAACGTTATTACGTCAATCCGGAAAGCTTGTGTAGCAGTAAATGAAGAGGGTTCGCGGAGTTTCTAGTTTATTTCAATAGACCAGATTAGTCCCCCGTCAACCGCCGGGACCTTCCTTCCGCAAACTTTACGTCTTTCGCTGTGGTCCCTTCCACCAACACCTCGCGTAGGTGACGCGTATGCTACAGAAAAGGAGTTTCATATAGTAGAGTTTATCGCCATAATCATAATATGACGGTAGATTTTTCGCTTCCCTTCCCATCCTCCCTTCCTCTCTCTCCACTGCCCTCCAGCTGCCACTGCAGCACCATGTGGAATGAACGGAAGTGCTCAGTAGGTGTTTATATAGCCGTAGGAGTGTTATCACAATTATCCTGCTACAAAACATTGATAGCTCAAGCCTGCGAGCTACCCGATTTGTTAGCGGCTTGTTTATCCCATGAGCTTCCTTATCACTCACTTCATTTTGCGGACGGACAGACATACATACATACAGACATACATACAAACCGACACACCAAGTTAGCGCTTTATAAAATGAGGGGATTATACGATGTTTACGTGCATAGTTCCACTTTATGGTCGAAAAAATACAGAACAGATGTCTTCAATAATGGTGTGTCACCGATTTTGAATCGACACTTGAATCGAAATCGACGCATCTTCGTTAGTACGCCTAGGCATACCGCTTGTGTATCAGTAAAAGTGGCACTAATTATCCTACACTACCCCACTCTTCAAAAACAGAGCCGTACATATTTTGATCGAGATTTGTCCATGACTGTGGATTTATCTAGAAATTTATCGCCGAGCAATTCAACCCGTAGAACACAATCGTGTATTGCGCATACACTTGGCGCCTACGTCATACGTACCGGCTCCAAATGGCACCAGAAACGCTGGTTTTGTGGCGCAGGCGCAGCCATTTTCGCGCTAAACTGATGTCAGATTCGTGTTCTACGAGTTAAAAGCCAACATTGTAGCCAAGTCCTTAGACGTGGACAAATTTTATTGAACTCCGGCCAGTTTTTGACATGTGTAACAGTAAAGAGTAAATAGTGCCGTCATTGCGCTGTCAGGCGCGGAGGCTCTGCAAAACAGTACATATTAATGATTTAGAGCGTGCAATGAACGAATTCAATGTACTGGCACTGCTTGACCGTTGTGGATGTTTGGAAGCGTTGTGTACGATTTTCACCTGCCAGCCTCCCCTCGTTGACATCTCGATTGAGTCGGACAGAACTCAGAAGTTTGCGAGTGAGCTCATTGCTGTGTGCCAGATGCATATCAACGAAATGCTTGAGCTGTAAGTTAGGCCTTACGCCCTATTCGAATTGCTCAATCTGGATTGGTACTGTATCAGTGGTTTTTAGTGAACTTTTCAAATCAATGGACGGTTGCCCTGCTCATTTCCTTCCACCGTATACTGTCAGCGAGAAAGCTGAGTACTACAAAATCTTGTCTACCAGTAAGTATTTTTGTTTACCATTTGTTCAGACTTAGTGAAGCTCTTTCTGATTGGAGGTTTTGATAACATTCACTTCACCTCCATAAAAAAAAATTTTTTCAAAAAAACGCGCAATGCTTTTAGCCAAGTATGACCCATCAACTTTTCATGGCTTGTTTGAAAATCGTTTCAGTAATAATCTCATTGCAAGAAGCTCTCGTAACGTTATATCAAAAGCTCTCATACTGCAAGCTGAAAATGATGATCTCAAAAGATGGACACTTCTACATCTACAACACCTGCAAGAGAATTAAGTGTAACGTTAGAAAAGATTGCCTGCGTAACTATCGAAACAATTCTCTGCCCAATACCGTCTGTGGTTAAAGCCGCTGAAGAAGCTCTTATGCAGGTATGAAGGCTAATTTGGTCCATTTCGCCAATTATCGAAATAATTCCGTATAGATCTCTCCAATTGACGCCAACTGTGTGCAAATAGTTGGAGAACCAGTGTTCGATTTGTTCCGTGAATCGGACGGTGAGAATCGCAACTCGGGTTCAGTGGCTCAACTTTATCGTCTTATTCGTTTGAATACTTCTCTCTTTCGACATAACACTAGCGACCAATCTCGTTGTGAGTGTTAATCCATGTTGTCATACTACAAATTCAAAAAAAATACTACAAAAAATGGAGTTTAGAACTACATTTGTGGCCACGTTAGTCGCTTCCCTCTTGATTCATCACCAGCATCAATCCCACAACTTGACGGTCAGGATGTGGAAGCGATCACTCAGACTGTGCGTCTGTTACTTCTTGTTGAAGACCCGTCAGGCTCCAAGCTGGCCACGGATATCACCGCTTTCATTGCATATTTCGACCATCACTACTGCACGAGCGTGAGTTCCCAACACAATTTTTCATTTTTTGCTTCTTATATCTGAGTTCTTCACTTATTTACTTAACACCTATTCCCTTATTTTCACTTTCTGTTCTTCCATTATTTTGATATTTTGAGCTAGGGGAAAATTAATGTCATAATGACGTTGGTTAGGTGTTTTATCATTCCTTTTGCGGTAAGGGTCATTTCGATGTAATGCCAAACAGAATGCACTGAGCCTTCAGGGGTTTCTGATCCGAAGCTTTCAACGCGTTTTTCAAGCTGCTAATGGCGTATAATATTATTTTTCCACAGAATTGTCTTCATTGAGAATTGTTTCGTAGGCAAAGAAGCTGCTCAGCAATATTATTGAGAGCATTGTTTGCTTTTTCAGGCTTACGATGCTTGGATTCCACCTTTGGCGACTTTATTGTCGCGTTACGCTCGGGAGTCTATGGCTTTCTTCCTATCTGAGGAATCGCTTTCGATGTCATGTCGAAGAGCTCTGCTGAGAAAGCTGATCAAAGACGAAGAATGTTCTCCTATACGGAATTTGCTTATGCAGGATTCGTCATATTTCGTGAACCTACTTGAAAATAGAGTCATGGTATGTGTTTTTATACCATTTATCTTAATACTGGAGAAAACATCGTGTTTTTGAGCACGATTAAAATTTTTGGGCTAGTTGGGAGTTTTTTAATAGATAAGTCGGGGGTGAGTAGATTTAACAGGGCAAAGACGTCGGATAATTATAACTGTAATAAATAGAAAAACTGACGCATAGAGTTCTACAGATGACAAGACAGTAAATCAAAGCCTGGATCATGCATACATTACTAAGGGCTAAGATATGACAGACATGAGAAAAAGCTAAGGCACATTGCACCATTGACCACCACTCCCCTCGACCTTATCAAAGCTGCCCAAGTGTAGTCCCCCCCTTGGCTCTCCAGGACCACCTTGTCCTGCGGTATGCCTTTATGGCCTTCAGTTGTGCTTTTTTCCATTTGCTGATTCGTTCATCTCAGTGGAGGAAATCTGATCGCGCAGGGTGTTTTATGTAGCAAAGAGTAAGAATGAATCTTCACGTGGATATGGTCGCCAAGTTGTTAGCGGTCGGTATTTCTATCCCCTCCTTCGCCTGCCTATTCCACGTGGTGCTGTAGCTGCCTCTGCCAGGATCATGTGAATCAGCCGGGTGTGCTCACTGGGTGTTTAAATAGCACTTCGGGGATGTCATCACTATTATACCATCACCTAGCATTGACTCCGGGGGACCTGCGAACTATCCAATTTTGTCAGCGATTGGGCTAAGCTGCTCAGTGTCTTATCAAAGCCGAGTCTTTCGACGTTACGGTCTGAATGATACTCGATCTTGACCACAATCTTTCGTTTTTATCGATTCTGAGCTCTAGTGTTTTTGAGAGAACTACTTTTTTTCGTGAATGTGTACATCGCGATCAGCGTTGAACTTCTTCGTCTTCTCTGCTATTAACCCGGGAGGCTTCCAATCTCATATGGAACTGAAAGGACTTCGATCTGGACAGGAGGATTAATAAGTACTTTCAGGATGTTTCTGGTGAGTGGAGAGATCCATCTCCCTCACAGCAAACCGAGTCGGGTATCATGGAGCGCGAAATGTTATGTCTCCACATAATTGACGCTGTTTCTCGGCGAAACGTTCAGTGGTTCGCTGGTGCCAAAGATCTGGTTATCAAACTGAGACAGGTCAGCCTCATTCACAGGCAGCACTGAGTTCCTTCTTAAAACGCCCCAATAACTTGAGTATAGGCGTTCTCCATTTCAGTTGTGGAATAATGCAGATTTCAAAGGACGTTATGTGGTTCATGCGCCATGCAATAAAGACCTACTGGAACTGACGATTAAACCGATGACAGAGCACAAATATAAGGTCCCAAGGCTCTTAGTGAACTGTTTCATCCGACATTACAGGTATATCTCGGGTATTATTGTAGTATATCAATTTCTGTAATTGACTTGGCTTTCTCAAGACAGTCAGTCGCTTTCAGGCACAACAGTAACGATCTTGACCTTCTCTTGCGATATACTTTTCGTGTTCATTGGGAGATATGTCACAGATTTTTGTTTTGTTCGTGAATTTCTCGAGAAGGGAAGTGATACCGGTAAGTACCTGTAGCATCTGTTATGAAGTACCTGAAAGATACATGTAATCCTTCAGACGTATTCCATGGAATGGCGACGGAAGCTATTTTCCTATGTTCTGGGGAAGTTTGAAGCAGGCGGCTCCACTGTGATAAAAGATCTTCTGTATGTGAAAAT